CCATCCCTGTCATGATTTGTCCTCCACAGATAATGATTTAGAGCCAAATTCTTGATAAATATGCAAGGGTTTATCTCAACATGCAGAGTCTACAACAAACGTCAGTAAAAATTACCAAATTTCAAATAGGAAATTCCCCAGTTATTCTTAATTTGCTTACAAGTAATATTATCAAGGACATAGCTTATCCAAGATTATTGTTATTTCCCTATTCAATATGGAAGAAGAGGTGTAAAAGCGTGGTCTCAAGTTACATATTAACATAATGTTAAAAGAAAATGAAAATTGATGAAAATGATGTTCTTCCCAATTTGCCTGACAAGAATACCTAATTTGGGTTTCTTTGGTTGTACATGAATATATGGTATTACACACAGGTAACCATTATTCTGTATTGTACATTATGAAATAGGAGCTGATAAAACTTCAGGCTTAATATATCACTTTTAATCTACACTTAGGGATGGTTGATTTTTAGGCATGCCACGATACATCGATGTATCGATGCATCAATACTTTTTTGTAAGATGATACAATTATCAATACATTCAATACTGTATCGATATTTAGTTATGAAAGTATATTTTAAATATGTTTATGTATCATTTACATTTTGCAATTGTATCGTGTTTTATGATGCTATGAAAGTTATAAATGATTATTTTTCAAGTACAAAGATAGGCAATTAGAACTTTTTAATCTCTGAGAATCAAAAATGTTGATCTTTTCATGGACAATTATCAAATATGAAATATTAATGTTTAAAATGCAACTAAATTTACGCAATAATGCCGAGAAAATAGGTATCGTGATACATATCGAATCATGACATGGGTATCGTGATACGTATTGATTCAAGAAACTTATGTATCGTGACGTCCCTTCTGAACTTCTTACAAGTTTGTGTCTCACCTCACCTTAGACTAAGGCTTAGCCTTTAAATAAATTTAATTTTGATAGAAACAAATAATTCCATTAAAATTGAAAAGGAATCCCAGTGTCAAGGGAAATTCAGAACCTGGTCAAATCTAGACTTGCTTCATTTAGAGCTTTAGCACTGCAGAAAGGGCTAGGCAGAAGGGAAAATAATGCAGTTCTTCAGGGACAAGACTATCTTACCCATGGTTAGAGGTGCATTCCTTTAGGGCAGTAGCCTTATCAAAAGTATTTCAGACTGTTTCACTGACACAAAAGCATGGACAAACGTTAGGTTGCATCGGTTGACCTTTCTCATCAGCCAATCAGCAACAAGGTGTCTGAAATCCTGGTATTATCTGAAAAAGGCCTCAGGAGCATCACACCTGATATTAGACTAACGCTTAGCCCCTGAATATATAATTTGGATTGTAACAAATAAACCCATCTAAATTGAAAAGGATCCCCAATGAGTTGGGAGATTCCTGGAAATCTAGATTTGCTTCATTTAGGGTTTGAGCATTGCAGGGAGGGCTAGGCAAAATGGAAAATAATGTGGTTCAGGGACTGTGACACAGACTAACCTGATATCTGTACCCAAAAAATTATGAGGGCGTGGGGAGAACAATGCTGTGACATCACAGCTAGGGGAAATAACTGTGTCACTCTTTAGGCATACCACTAAGAATAACTCAATGACTTAATGTTTTTAAGAGAATTTTTTTCTCTTTCATTTCTGTATATCTCTGTGATACCACAGGAAACTGGCAACCATAATCCAGAGGGAATGTTTACGACATAATTAATGTAGTTCAGGGATTGTGACACAGACTAACCTGATATCTGTACCCAAATAGAGAACAGAACTGTCTGTGGGGGTAACAAAGGAAGCCTTTCTGTGTGTGAGCACAATATCATTACCACTATCGTGTACACTACCAAACATTCCACAATTGATGGAATATGTGTTGTTTGTGTAGGTTATCTTTGTTTTGATCAATATTACCAAATCAGGAAAGTCATATGAGGCTGAAATGTTTCAGAAAACTGTCATCAGGGAGGCTCAAAAACGTGTGCATCTACCATTTACTCTAAGTGGTCCTCTAGTGGAAGTTGCGGTGGCTGAATGGGTTAGATGGCTGACTTTGTGTGCTGGTGAATAGGTGCCTGACTCGGAGGGTGTGGGTTCGAATCCCGGATGGGACTCAACCCAACAAAAGTACTAGAATCTGTACCGTACAAAGAAAGTGTAATCCCAGATATAAGATATGGTCATAGATTGTATATGCTTTCACAATTTACTGGCTAAATTGGTGAAACAACGTTCAAAGCCAACTTTCATTCCACATCTGCAGCAAACTTCCACAACCACTTCAAACCAGGAACTGCCATTTTCCCAGTTCATGTTACAACATTATCGTTTAGTTGAGGTCCTTTGTTCTGTATTTAACTGATAAGAGGGCCAATATTGAGGAAGAAGATTTAATGGGATATGGTATACACAATTCATTCAATTTAATACTGAAATATAATCATATGAGACAAGGACGGTGAAAACTTTGAATGTGATTTTGCTGTGTTTACTCAACCATGAACTCAGCATATAAAAAGGATTGTATCACATTCATATAAAGTATTTAAAATTCCAAATGCTAGTGATGACATCACAGGCTCCATTATCAGTTTATAAACAACATGTGGGAGTTGTTTCAGGATTTTGTGCAGAAGTCTGAGAAGACTGTTGGTTAAGAAAAGGACTGAGTAGATACAATATCTTAATGTCTGTTTCCTCAATGCCAATGATTTAAGCAAAGTTGACCCATCACAGATCATTGTATACACTATTGACTGTGTGCACTGAAGTAAGGCCAGACCAAATTTATTTCTTGTTTTACAGATTTTTGTCCTCAGAAAACCTAAAGTCAAGAGGTGAATTTTTTTTTTTAAATTCACCAGTCAAAGCAAAAATCCACATGAGTTTTACAAAGGCTTTATTTTTCAAGTTTACACTCACTGAGGTGCTCTAAGCACTGATTTCTAACACAAATATTGTTACATAATTCAGTTTAAAGTCTTTGAGAACAGATACCGGTGTGTTAGTGTCCAACAAACTGCCTTACGTAGTCAATGTCTCGCTCCCATATATCTTAACATTAGGATTATTTTTTTGAGCGGGGAAAATTTATTTTTACTTTTTTGCTTATTCTTGAAAAAAATACGACCAGCGGATCCGTAAAACAAAGAATAAAATTGGTCTGGCCTAACGAATGTCTGTAACGTTCTCATTTTATGTCTTACACTCTGTTCGGGTTCCACAAACCACCTCAGAGATTACTAAGAAATAACCTGTTTGGGATTAAACCCCTGAGTAGACAACTGAATTGATCTCCTATGTTCTTACTAATTCTTGGCATAAGTTATTGCCATGGTAATCAAACGGATGAGCAACAAGAAAAGCGCCATGATGGATTACAAAATTAGAGGTGGAAGCAGGTAGGCTGGGCACTGTCACACTAGGCATTGTTTTAATTGTGCAGTGTGACAAAAGCTAAGACTTTGTTTTAGCCTGTAGCATATTTTTGGTTTGGGTGGTGGTTTAGACTGTACTCCAAAAGACATGAGATACAGATATCCCTTGACTTCTAGAACACCACTGCATCAACACCAAACTGTCATTCCTTCAACATTGTTAATTGCCAATAAATATTACATCGACAGAAACATGTAAACGACTGAATCAACAACCTGGCACTATAACCAAATCCCTCCAAATCTGTAACCAACAAACCAATTAAGTACTCAAGATAATGAGGGGATGTATTGGTGAACACACACTGTGTACACAAGCCAACTGAGTTTCTGTATATTAGATGAGTACCCACAGGCTGAGAGGCCTTATCAAAACGCTTGTGTTCGATGGAGCGTGCGATGGTGCTCTCTCATATACCGAACACTGACAGCAATAATCAGATAACAGACAGTGAATCCGGCCTCATCCCACATGAACATTTTGTGTCACTTCTTTCCGAATTTGTTATTGATTCCGCTATCGTCTTGAATGAATACCCCATATTCATATCTATTGATTAAGCAGTAGTATACTACATCTCACAGGCATCTTGTAGACCACTCACTTATACTCATGTGAACTGGTTACTAGTTATCTCAAAGCACAATGGACAAATTCCTAACATATGTAAAACACAGCTTCTAAAATACAAGCATCCATTTACTGAAATGTCAGGCACTGTTATCTGGGCCATCATCTTGCCAGTTAGAAATCCCCATTAAACTGTTCGTCTGTTGCTTAATGACACGTTCAACAGTACTGCCACCATATGACGGTGACCTAGGAATCATCAACAATCTACTGATTGATACCACGAGCAACAATCCACAATATAAGTGTCCGACCATCATCTGACCATCCAAAGCAGTAAGTCTCACATCAGTACAGGCTGAACCTGACCTAAGCCAGAATAGCAATGGGGGATATCTTTAACATAATTCTCAAGCAATAAGGTCAAATAAAAAAAATGTTGTGGTTCCAATTACACCTCTTTAAAATTTAGGGTGGGTAGGTAGGATTTTTTTTTACATTTTTTTTAGAAGAAAAGTACAAACTAATAACACATGTATCAATGTGTAATTGTTTATTCAATCAAGCTTGCGGCCATCATGTCGACTTTCTCTATCAGAATGGCCGATATCTGTCGGTGTGGGGAAAAAACAATGGTATCTGAAAGTTTATTTTATTCGGTCTGCTTTAAAAAAAAAAGGGTTCGCACCAGAATTCAAGGGTCGGTCGGGTAATCGGAACCACAACATTATTTTTTTAGGCCTAACTGAAAATCTTAAGGATCATTTGAGGTTTTGTCCTGGTACAGTGTCGATCGTAATGTCCTGTGATCAGACACTAGATAATTTCATGCTCTTGGTCTGTATAATGTGACAGACATATTTTCATTAATCCATGACAACTTGTGAACTGTGGAACCCTGAAATGTGGCGAACAATGTTGACAGCAGAGAAGTCATTATGTTAACATGTCACTTCCTCTTTCACTGTCAAGAAATGAAACATACCTGTGTCCATTGAGGGAAGCAAGATGAAGAGGAGTTCCGCCATTAGCATCCACACAGTTCACATTTACTCCTTTGAAATTCCAGAGACTGCAAGAAAAAGAATGTCACAGTTTGTTTTATATTCCTATTTGTCATATCATTGCTGACAACCAATAAAAGCAATAATATATCAGAGGCATTCAATTTTAGGCTGAAAACATACTCATAATGTGATTAGAAACTAAAACTGTTTACAGTGAATTCAGTGATGTAGCAAAATCATCAATGTTCCATTTGGGAAGGTGTGTATTTTAATAAAAATCCTGTGACATCTTATGAGAAGGGTATTGTCTATATGTCATATGATATCAACCTATGCCCGAGACACTTTCAGCATCTTTTTAAATTTTTAAAAACCATGGAAGAAAACTCCATTTTCAACATATTCAAGTCATATGTGATGATCATAATTCTCTAAATTTAACTCTTTTTTTATGTGCACTTAGATTCATCAAAATGATGTTCTGCTAAAAGACATTAAAGCAAAATGAATAAAATATTTAACAAATGAGATGACATTAAAGCAGTTCCAAATAACAAATTTCAGCCTTATTTTCACTTGTGATCAATCGATTTTTACATATTGGAACACAACACAATCGTGTACTTCCTTAGAAGTTCTGTGATTGTCCTTGCTGAAGACTATCTGGATCAGATCAGAAACTCACTTCTCCATGTCGCTGTATTTCATGCACAAAATTCTGTCTGTTCAGTATGTTTATGTATGTTAATAACACGAAAAATTCTGTAATAAACAATCTACCCTGTTTCATAATAATAGGGGAGACAACTCTTCTTTTATGACATTTTAATTTTCGTTGCAGTTCACACCAACACTGGTCAACTTTGGCCTTATTTTATCCAGTATATGTACATGAGCTGACAGAAAAGCTTTCACTGAACTTCATGAATGATCATTAGAATAAAATCTTTTAACCTACAAGTCAAAACTGACAAACACATTTTGCTGAGTCAATCTGATATCAAATGTTTTGATTACGTTTTCGAAGCAGATAAGTGTTACCAAGGAACAAAACACTGCTAAAAACAGGTAACTGCACAGAACAATATTTACTGTATATTGTGCTAGTCAACATGCCTGCAACAAAGAATGAAAACAAATGGCATATGGGATTAAGTTGGATATGTCATGCTAATTAAATCATTGGTCAAAATGTTTACTATAATGGTCATGTCTTACTCTTAGTATATGAGACATGAGAGGTAATCCTGTTTTTGAGTCAATGACAGAACTTGACATGTCATGGTTTGTATATGGAAATAATAAATACATGTAGTGCATATTGATAGTTAACTTATTAAATATATGAGACTGCAGATATTCAGGGTCTGAGTCTGATGTCATTAAGACAGGGATCAGAGTGCAAAGGCACTACGGATATTACTTCCACAATAAAACGCTATTGCTGTCACACAATTTGGACACTTCCATGTAACTATCTAATTCCAGCAAAATTAAAGAGTCAGTTATTAATACGGAAAACAAGTATACCTGTATAACACTGTATAGCATTTGTGTAATTTTACCTGCCTCAGACATTTTCATTTGAAAGCAGATGTGTTGTTTTTTAAAATTCATTTGACAACAGACCAGAATATTACATGAAGATCAATGTGCCATGGTGTTTGACTGAAAAAATACATTCACGGGAATGATGATGCAGAAATTATACTTTCATGGTCTTACCATTGAATACATGAAATAAGCTACTCTGTTCATCCCCTAAACCTCATTAAAATAGTAATGTTGTTTATTTCTTCGTCATCCTGAATCACACCGATACCGTTGATACAAATGTCATCTGATACTGGATAACATCATGTTATAATTCTATTCGGGTGCTTTAAACAAGAATTAGGTTAGATACGTGAAGTGTCATGCAGAGACTATTATCAAAGTTGAGCTGTCACCTGGCTAGAGCACTTGTAAGTGCACTCCCTCCTGCCGATCGACGTACTCTGCTGGCGAGCAACCTCTCTATAACTGCAACATTTCCAGTTCTTGCTGCTTCAAGCAGTTCCTGCTCTTTCCCCATAGTATCTGATTACAATATTCTGCAAACATTCGCTGGAAGATCGTACATTGTTGATAAAATTTCTTTACTTCCTTCTCGCCATGCTTAGACAGACAGCGCCATCTACAATGTTATCATAGCAGCTGTAAAACCATCTTTGATTGGTTTACTTGATAACACTTCGACCAATGAAATTGCCTTTCGTACACGTGCACGTGTTTTGTTTGTGACGTCACGACCTGACTAAATATAGTATGCTGATGTAAACAAGACCAGCTGATATTTCTTTGTGAAATGCGTGACAGATAGGCTGCTATTCAAAGTTCACAAATCAAGATGACAAAACCTTTGACTGTGGTAAGTTTTCTTAACCCGTTTCATTTGTAATTACATCCCTATCATAGCGACATCCTCCACATTGTGTCTCCGTCTGTAGAAGGAGCTCACAGTCGTTGAAGAAGTTGTTTACATCTAACCAAGATATTCCCAGAAATTCTGTCAAACATCTTTTATTATCATGAATATTAATTTTTTTGCGCGTTTATGCCATCCTTGTCAGCTACTGTTTTATTTTCAAGCAGCCAAAAGCTTGATCTGCATGCGTGAAAACTGAAAGGTCCAGAATTTGGCGGATCGAGGTTTTACTGTTATAATGTCGAAACAAAGCCAACGCTGAACTTGAGAGGTTAGAGGAAAATGGCGCTGGATCCATCAGATACACGACTGTTCCTGGTTATCTTCATTTTTGTTTATCCATTCCGTGTTTTAGTATTTCATGAAAGAATGATAACACATTACGTTGTAAGTGAGAAAATCTTTCCCACGACAAGAAAACTGTGTCAGCCCACGTGACAAACTGACCTACAAATCGTAAATCGTTTGTTGGCACGAAACACATGTTTACCTCAAGATTAAGCCCTTATTAGACCAGTGTTTCACATATATAACTTATTTCATTTGTTTTCTCCTAGCAGCGCGTTCATGTGGTGGTTTTAGAGCAACAGTCTCACCAGTTTTGTCTGGATAATGAGCTCAATATATTATGATGATTTTAACACAGGATTCAGCCTAAGGAGGTGTTGATGGAGTAATGGAGTTGTGATGTAAAATGCCAGCATATCAGTTGTTAATGAGACCACCCTAAGAAAATGACCAAAAAGAACTACCCCACTGTCTAAAAATCCAGTTATCAATGAATATTATTACTTCAAGGCAACTTTGGAAGCTAAATGTGTTTTTGTGTATGGAGACATAATATGTTCAGTTGGATTTTTTTATTGATGGCTTTCAATTCATGGTATTTGGATTCCGTTCAAGTTACCAAACCTGTTCACACGTGGGTACATTCTTGCAAACATTGGGAACTTCCATGTAATAAACATTTAAAACATTATTAGATCTATTTGTTTAAAATGTATTTCAAAAATAGAACAATGGGTGCAGTTCATGAACAATGGGGTTACATTTTTCAACACATACTAGTGACACGGTTTATTCTCTGATATATAAGTCACTCTTGGCCCAAGTGTTGATGTATGGCTGTTGTCACCTGTCAGTTTTATGATTGTGTGTGTTTTATCCAGGGTTGTGTGAGTGTGAAGGTTTACCTGAGCGGAACCAAGGTTACTGTCGCGTCAAGGTTTTAATTTGTTCATTATGACTGGGAGTATGTGATGGGTATGAACCTCACTCATACTATGACTGTTTACCCATGATTCATATTTTATTAGTGGAAGAAAACCAAGCCAAGCTATTATAGAAACAACAGTTGGAAATAATCAGCCCCCTCCCATGTCATTGTTATGGAATTTACAACTAATTAATTTGTCATGTCTTATCTACTCAACTTGCTTTTCTCTTCATTGTCTGTTTGTCATAAAATAACATCTCTTAACCTTTAATATTGTTTGTATTTCGTGAAAAACCCACATTTAATAAGTCTCATTTTATCATGATTATAAAACAAATTCCTGTACAGTTTGACTTAAATTTTCCAGTTGCATCAGAACCATTACTATAGTGACTACTGAAGCAATAAGTGTAACATCTGGCAGGAAATCAAGAAAATTGATGCGATGAAACAAGGTCAAAGCGTGTAGTTTGACCTATTTATATGTCCTTACTGTTTGACCGAGGCTTTTGTCTATACAGAGATCGTACATTTACAGACAGTACCCCACAAGATAATCACTGCCTGAACTGAATGACATTTAAGCCCCCACAACCCACTCACTTTGTGTATCTATTGTTGAATTTCCCGGCACATGACTTACTGCGTCAGTCATATGACCCCATTCACAAAATGTGGACTTTGAACTGCCATGTGACCGTGGATTACATCGACTTTATGACATCTGTGTAGGGGAATTCAGTGTTTGTTTATCCTACATGTCAGAGTTTTTTCTCATGGAAATGAAATTATTACTGCAAATTGTAGTGTTTTTCACAATCTGGGATTTATTATTGTGTGAAATACAATCTCTTTATGATGTAATTACTATATTTATCAACAATAATTAGATCTTCCTGTCTTGTTTATCTCACTCATTACTTGATTTTCCAATTTGAAATGATATTTTCATAGACTTGATCAAAATTCAGTCTTTGTGAACAGCATCTTGCCCCAGTAAATGCGTGTGTTTAATATTTGTAATATTAAGAGTAGTTATGTTCAAAAAGGATTTTTAGAGACATGTTTAAAATGTTCTTCTGACAAGTGCAGACCATATCCAGTTTCTGAAGTTATGTGACCTTTTTGTTTGCTTTTAGCTATTCATGACAGGAAATGTCATTTACATAATTAAAGAACGATGTTACATAACCAAACAGGAAATCATGAGATTTTACATGGGGGTTATTTCCCCATATGTTATTGATATCCATTGACCCCACTTCAGTAACCATCAAATTACAGAGGACTTCATCATACTTGATGTCTCTTCACTTTTTATCACAGGTGGTTGAAATTAGGCATGAATGACAAAGGTTGACTCATCCATAATGAATACAGTTTTAATTTTAATGTGTCCCTGGATTTTTATCCAAAACTATCAATGTCCAAATACCCCTTGCCCCCTCCCCTGGTAAATGTCTGATTGGAACTAATTCGCATTAATATCTTTGTATCCTTTCATGTGGATTGTTAGGGCAATGGGTGGTTGAGATATTCACTAATCATATGAAGGATTGGTGTTTGATTCCCACACGTGTTAAACCTATTTGTGTAGCTCCCTATCATGATCACTATCAATATTTAATCTAGTGTACCCTATCAACATAATCCTATCAACCCTTGCTTTGTTTTGTTAATGATTTCATCATCTGAATCCAGTGAATGTCTCTTATGAGTATTTCAGTGTCATTTATACCAGTCTGTCTAGGTTGTTTGGAAAAGTGGGGCGGTGGGGTAGCCTAGTGGTTAAAGCGTTGGCTTGTCACGCAGAAGACCCGGGTTCGAATCCCCACATGGGTACAATGTGTGAAGACCATTTCTGGTGTCCCCTCCGTGATGTTGCTGGAACATTGCTAAAAGCGGCGTAAAACCAAATTCAGTCAGTCAGTGTTTGGAAAAGTGGCCTGAAAGCACCACACACTCACTTTAGGCAACATTTGTCTGCAACATAGTGGCTACTAATTTGTCCAAACACATCATCCATCCAGTAAAATATTGGTATCAATAACATTCTCATTGCGGGACATTATGAAATATTGTTGCATCTGCTGTGAGTTCAATTAAGTGATACAAACAAGATTGAAGTCGACTCATAATAAATCACATGAGAACATCTCTGTCTGGCCATCTGTTGGTACTGCACAATGGTGGTCATCCACTGTGTCTAAATATATCTTTCCTCTCTTCAAACAGACTCAGTGTGTTGACCTTGTTTATTTCCTGTGACCAGGTGGTCTCCAGACCTTGTCTGAGGAAGGTCACTTCTCATTTCACACCTTTAATGAGTGATTGAAACAAAGGTTATATTTGTAACACTATGTTAATTACACATGCCCTCTTATTAGGAAAGATTCTCCAGTTTTCAATATTGAATCTGACCAGAACCAAATTTTATGTTCTATGTTTATTTTCACCTCTCTGATTGTAAAATACTCAAAATCATACAACAACAAAACAAAATACAAAGTGGTGTTTAATGTTGTCAGGAAGTCAGATACTGTATTTCCTCTATTAAGCAGTGCTTTAAGAAATAAGCACTGGGCCTCCAATAAGCGCCGGGTATAGACCTTTGCATTTTTTCGCAAATGTATTCTCCCTTGGTCTCAAAATAAATATATTAAGGAATGGTCCCTTAAATCATAACTTCATGTACTCATCCCCGCTTTTAAAAATACAGGGTATTTTAATAAGCGCCAAGCCTCTAGAGGTCCGTTGAAAAAATAAGCGCTGGGGGTGCTTGTTAGAGGAAATACGGTATCTGTGGATCAAACACATGTATGATGATTACTTAATTAAGGTTTCTCTTTAAGTGGATGACCACCACCATATAGCTGGAATATTGCTGAGTGTGGCGTAAAACTAAACTCACTCACTCTTTAACCGGATAATTGGTTTCCGGATCAGGCCATCAATTTTTTATCCAAAATGGTTACTTTACATCTGGTGACAAACCAACAATATTTGTTGACATAGTTTAAGATGCGTCAAATATTGGATGACCAATCCAACATGCATGAAAGTAACCAAGAGCGGATACAACTTGGAGGGGGGGGGAGTGCAGTTCATTTTCACCTGAGACAAATTAGGTCTGCCTGTGATTTCATAAACTTTCATGACAAAAGAGGAGGTTCGCACCCCTGCATCCCCCCTTCTGGACCCACCTATGGAAACACAGGGATCTATCGCAAAATTACCTGGATCGATCAATGTATTTCCTATTTACATCTTGTTGTGATTTTAAAGTAATCCTGTTGACTTTCTGCATCACTAACAACAAACCACATGTTCATACAATAACACTTTGTTCTACAATATTTGTTCAAGAATGTGATCAGAATGTACAAAGGCATGGGAGGCAACTCTATTCAGTTGTTCAGGAGGTTTAAGTCGAGGATGTGTCCAGATAAGCGGGTTCCACTGTTGTAACCGTAACACTTCTAAAATATGACAAACCCTTCCATTGCAGATGTTGCTAGAAATAATCCAGGAGTATTTAGCTGAAAATTAGCATTTTTCAAAAGTTTTAAGGAATCACAATAGTGTTTAATTTGTGCATCCTGGAGTGGAAAATATTGAAATGGCATGGATAAAATTATTTTCAATGTGCCTTGGCTGCACAACAAAAATCATAAAAAAATACTCACTATGATTCATTTTAATGATTCATTTAATGGGAACTGATAAATTTTGACCAACTTAAATTATTGGAAACCTATTTTTGCACCCCATCAAACTGTTTATTGGTGGAACTCTCAACCTCACAATATCACATGGGCATGACACGTGACAGGAAATCCCGGTTTTGGAGTTATAACATAGTTTATATGGGTTAGGTTATGGCTCAAGGACAGAATGAATGCTGTCATGATAGTGTTCAGGAAATCCAACTCTCAAATTATAGGTTTTGATGGTTACTAATTTGTTACACAATAAATTGATATGGCATAGTTGTTGTGATGTGTTTATTTGGATCGTCAAAGGCATAGGCACACATAGTTTCATGAAGACACTCCAAAATGATCTGCCTGGTGCCCCATGGCACACTTCAATAAGAAATACATTTCTGTCCCTGGTGTTTTTTTGCTTAATTTCAGAACATTGAGATCTCCTCTGTTACTTCCCAATTGCGCAGATCGATGCTCATGCTGTTGGTCACTGGATTGTCTGGTCCAGACTCGATTATTTACAGACCACCGCCATATAGCTGGAATATTGCTGAGTGTGGCGTAAAACAAAACTCACTCTTCTGTTACTGTTCCAGGTATTGCTTAAATAACTTGTGAAAACCTCCCCACATTTCATGGAAGTGCTGAAACACACGATGGTTAACTGGATAAATATAAAGACATTCAATAGATAATAAGGTATTATCAGTATCATACAAACACACGAGAACTGAGATCATCACTGGTGATGAATGGTTGGAACAAGTGTGAAGACACTCTCTCATTTCCTCAGAATAACATGGAGCTGGTTGCGTCAGGCATAAATCCCTGTTTTACATTACTGCATTACCACCATCAGCCACCATTGATGTAAACACATCCAGCAGCTACTGTTTATCATCTCTGCTTAGAAGCATAAACAGTGAGCCCCCTAATTCTTGTCATCAGGAATAGTATATACAAGTATTTGCCTCAAAACTTCATGTTGGCTGATCTGATACATTCATCATCTTTATGCTGACAAGCTGTATCAGGGGTGACCTTGTGTGTTTATTTGACATTTTCCCATATCACATATTTTCTGGAAACTGCGTACAATTGGAAGATGACTGAACAAATTAAAGTACCAAACTGTTTCAAAGTGGTGTTTCAATCATGGTGTATAACTTCTGATTTGATTCTGTTTGATATCAGAAGTCATATTCCAAACATGGCAGTGATCCTGTATAATAGGACCCGTAAGTAGGTCATGGCACTTCGCGAGACTTTAGTACTTCCAGTGACAAACGATGTTTCATACCTTTTCGAATGGTCTCACGGTTGTCAGTTGACAGTAGGGAACTGATAATCCTTCTAGGAATAACAAATTTCCGATCTAACAATTTCCAAATGAGCCAACTATTACGAGTGTCAACAGGTGTGACAGTCAAGCATGGTTGTACACTTGGTCCGGTGTAGTAAAGTCATATTTTGCGGTCATCCAATTTGGAACCAGAACTGGTTCTTGAATATACGCTTGTCACCGGAAATCTGGTACCGGAAGTAAGCTGGGCCCCGTCGAGCATATCGCAAGTTGGCGTGCACAATGGGAGCCGGGAACCAGCTTAGTTCCAGAAGTAGCGCCTCTTACAGGCACTCTTACCCTCAAATTGTCAAAGAAGGGCGGTCACAACAGGGCTATTGGCTTAAAGATATGTCAGAATAGGGAGAAAGATATGTTGGTTTAATCTGAGAGTTTTCCCAATCTCTGCCAGTAACTCACATCCTCATACTCATAGGTTGTGTGTGATTTCCCGTAATTTATTGAACTGTATGTTCTGTGGTTATTTGCACTTATTATGAGAAAACAGCCATGATAGTCTGGTGGATAGAGTGTTACATCTTCAGCCAAGCCATGTCATGCCAAAGACGTTCTTAAAAGATTAAACTTGTATTACATACACTATCTGGGACTCTGCTTTAAGGACTGGTCAGCTTAGCATCAGAGTAGAGCATCCATGTTATATTGTGTCATAGAATTTCAGTCGACTAGTGCAATAAAACTGGCATCATTCCAGTACATACATGCATGTCGCTAAATAATAGCAATTAGTTTTAACGTGACTTAAACCCTATTACATCTCACTTCAATAACTATGTGGTTGTTTATTCGTACATGCCATGCTTACTATTAATTACTAAGTGTTCCACCTTTCTTTGTATTCAGTGTTTGTTTTCATCTTCTTGCAGCTCAAAAGTGTTGGGCCCAAGCTGGTGCCGTTCTTCAAGACGGTGGCGATATACTTCGTATTGTTTGGGGATGAGGAGCGATCTTCCATTTTCTTCTGCATCGTCAAGCTCCTCCCCATCATCTCGCTCATCCTGTTTGTGCTGATGCATGGGATGAACCTCTCCGAATACTACCGCTACTCTCGCCGCATCCTCATCGGCCTCGTCCTGTCTTGTCTCGGAGATGCATTCCTCGTATGGAAGAAGACATATTTTGAAGCAGGTATCCTCATGTTCGCCCTTGCCCAACTTCAGTATGCCCGAGCGTTCGGCTGGCGTCCCTTCAACCCATACGCTGGCACAGTGTTTGCCGTTCTGTCGGGCATTATCTTCTACCACCTGCAGACAAGCCTGGAGGGCATCATGATATATATGGTCGGCATCTACGTCGTCCTCATCAGCATCATGGGGTGGAGGGCCGTCGCTCGGGTCCGCTTCTTTGATGATCTGTGGACGTGGACCAAGCTGAGCAGCTGCGCTGGTGCCATATGTTTCATGATATCAGACTTGACCATTGCAGTTGACAAATTTGTGCGACCAGTTCCATTTGCTCATCCCATTATTATGGTGACGTATTATGCTGCTCAGTTCGGAATATCCCTGTCAGTTGTGGACAGTCCTCTGGAGGAATTGATGAACGTGGATTGAACTCGGCAGTGCTGAATCAATGTGTCGCTGTTACCGAACTGATACTCAAAACCACCAAGTTTCAAAGTAGGGTAGAACTTATTTTTCAAAACAAAATATTGGATAGTTTCAACATGGGTCTTGGTGAATCCAAGGACTCATTCATCTAGGACAAGCTACCTTGAACAACGGGAACAATTTGTTAAAAAATCCTGAAATGACATGGATAGATCATCATCTGAAATGATGAAATAACAAATTTTAAAGCCACAAAAAATGATTTTGGATGGATATTTAAAAACTTGAAAATCAAACAGTGAAAATGTCCCAATAATTTATTGTAATGTACATATAGAGATACGTTAGTGGAAGTTGGCTGAGATTTGGCAGTGATGTTCCCATTTAGTCAAAGAAAGGAACTCTTCTCTCCAAATTCCTAACCCCAATGGTAGGCACATTGACTGCCAGTGATATGCTGATGAGGGGGTTTTCTCAACACACTCAACGTTCCAAGCCTACTCCACCTTTTTTGGGTTTGAGGGCTTTGATGGTGCGATAAGTCATGATATTACTAGTCATCCTCTGCCTCTCTGCGATGAACAGCATGCTTGACTGGGCTCTTAGTTCATCAATCAAGCAGCTATGCTGTATAGACTGAACATATTTAGTTGAAAGTAACTTCAAAGATTACTGATTGACTGAGAGGCTATTCCTGTACACCTCACCTGAATGTATACCGTTGCTGACATTTACTAATTACTTTCTTTAAATGTCATTTTTATGCAGTCAAATTACTTTCTTGAAATGTAATGTTCATTGCATAAGTAACTGAAATATTTAGTGGAAGGTGTTCACCCATCTAGTGTCTGCAGGTGAATTTATTGAGCATATCTAGATGTAGAACAAATTAACAATGGTGCTTGTAAAAACAATGAATTCAGATTATAGTTTACGATCTATTTAATCTTTTTGCCAGACATAATGATCTGCAAGTATATATTTTATTGAAACAAGCATTACTGTACCTGCACAATGACAGAATGTACTTTAGAATCTACATTGTGTTATTCCATGAAACATCAGACTCTCCCAAGGTGCCTACCAACAGTACCAACATATGTTCAGTACAGTAGAATACTTGTATAACGAACACGGATATAACGAACTGACGGCAATGGCAAACTGTTTTAAAAGTCCCGAATAAACCTTATATTATCATATAAAAAAGTGAATAGCGAACTACGGATATAACGAACTAATTTCAGTGGTCCCTTGGAGATCGTTATAAAGGTATTTTACTGTAATTACTAACAAGAACAGTTTGGTCTACCTTCAGATACTGATTTGGCAAAGGTTTCTGAACTTTAATATCACTGGACATCAGATGTTTTAAAACTTAGCTTGACGTTCCATTGAGATAAGTTTATTTATCTTTTCTTTAGAAATTGTCAGTGATGTTGCATGTATATAGCTGAATCTTGAGGCGTACGTCTGTGTGTTGTGAAGAAACACTGTAACCGATAGCTCTCACAACATAGACTGTATTCATGTGATGTTTGACAAACTAGATCCCACTGCTTGTATTTGAATGTTGCTATGTCTTCTGTCAAAGCTTCCCACGAAGCATACACAATGCAATGTTTTGTTGATATGTTTCTTTATCATTAATGTGTCACCTTTAAGATATTTATGATTTTAATACACCAGATCTTTCACATGTGATTTGCCTGTGTATGCTTTTGCAATAGTGTTCCAGACAGCATTTGTTTATTGTTTTATTTGTATGTTTTAGTGCTAGATTGTTGTACTGTTCATCTACTACGTCTAGTTATGTAGATTCATATTAGTACTCTTTGTAGTTTGGGCTAAATTTCCGTGTACTATGAAAAATATATATTTAAATTGACATACATTGTGTTTACCATTTAGAAATAATGACATGCACAATAATATATAAACAATAGTAAACACTTTTCAAAGTTCTACTAAGTCACACAATATATTAATGTGACTTTTCACATTCAGAAACCATCTACATTGTGTGTGTGTATATTATTTAGTTGTGTGGACTATTTTCAGGTGTGTTGGTCTGTGTAAGTCTTTACCCTCAGGAAACCTGTCACATGAAGCATGTCTGTGTTTGTTTGTGTTGTTGATAATTATGTCTATTGATGCAGTGCTGGCTAAGTGCAAGAGATGCTGCAGACCGCACATATTTATTGGGTTTGCTTATTGCGTACTATAAAATGTTTGCGGCTTCACAGGAAGTCTTCCTCTTGAAATCTGTATCTTGGACCTTAACTTCACGTTATTCTCAAAATGTTATTTGTTCTCAGGAACGATGTATCCTTTTTGTTTATTATGTTAAAGTTTGCATTTTTTTAAAGTAATGTTCAGAATACATTTCACAGCTTCGTTTGGATACAAATCAGTGTTGATGATTTCTGTTCCATATTTTTGCTCAAAGTGTGAAATATACAAGTTTTCCTGACCGAGATACAGCTGAACAGTCTGACATTTGGTCCGATTCTGTTTTCTGTCAATTTAGAGCGCAGTGTTGTACGTTGTTCCTTTTTTTTAAAAATTTAATTGAATCCTGCTTCCTTCAGCTTGTATTGTTCAGGGACCATGCCATTATCTTGATTTTCTGTTTTTGAACTTTTTTAGTATAGTGTGTTTTGTGACATTTACTCTCTTATTAAATATTGTCTGTCACTTGTCACAACCAAAGAAGTCGATGGACAATCTCACAAAACAGTCATGGCTGAAAACCAGTAGCATTTGATGGTTAAATAGCAATCTGAAAGTATATTGTTGTTGAAACTATTCCATCGTGACACATGCATGGACTTCTATGTTTTTGTCACCAATTACCCTGTTGAAATATCCTCCTGGGTTTTGTGAGATGGTCCCTTGCACTGACACACAGCAAATGTGTCAGACGACAAAATTGGCATTAGAGGTGTCGGGAAAACAACTTGTGTTTTGTGAATGTCACATTGGAAATGTTTCCATGGTTACAGTTTTAAGCTTGTATGTTAGTGCTAGTAATGTTTGATTTGGTTGGTTTATATCTAGTTGTAGAATAGACAATGTGTAGTTTGACAGTCATTAGGGAAACATTATTATTTTTTCCTTCATGTAGATGAACCATGTATGTTTTTCAAATGTCTTTTCAGAGCATTTGCAATTGCCTGCACTGAATATTGATTGGGATCTTGTGAAAAACTGACATTATAATTTATTTCTCAAATATTTTTATAACTGTTTGTGCTGATAGACAAATGCGGTTTTCACAGCTTTTTGTTGACAGTGCCGATTCATATGTGGGCTGTCTTCAAGAAGCCATGTTTTGTACATATATTCTCTTCTTCTGCAACAACAATGCAACGTTGTTATGACAGTTATGGCATTATGGTAACAGTGGGCGCCTATCTCAACAATGCTCCTTTTTCACAAACAATGGAAATGTCACTGGTCACTGGTCACAACCCTGATCAAGTAGGACTTAGGTTAGTTGGTTGGTTTGTGGTTTAACACCACACGCAGCAATATTCCAGCTATATGGCGGCGGTCTGTAAATAATCCAGTCTGGACCAGATAATCCAGTGATGACCATCATGAGCATCAATCTAAGCAATTTGGATACGATGACATGTGTCAACCAAGTCAGCGAGCCTGACCACCCAATCCTGTAAGCTGCCTCTTACGACAAGCATGGGTTGCTGAAGGTCAGTTCTATTCCAGATCTTCCTAGGTATTTAGGACTAAAGACCCCTGTATGTAGTGTAAAACACAGTGTGGAAATAGCAATCACTACACAACATGGCTCTCAAAGTATTCATGGTTGTTGCAAGTAAATCAAGTTTTGTGTTTGCGATTGGTTTTAAATTGTGTACTATATTTGAAGACATGATCTATAACTGTTTTTTTTGTTGATGATGCAAGGGCAAATTCAAATTTGATCATATTTATGCAAAGTTTTGCATTCAGTTTCTTCCTATATCACATTTTACAGTGTTGAAGAAGGGTTGACAGATCTGCCAGTTTGACATTGTGTCAGTTGTCATAACAGTTTCTCTGAGCTGGACTTTTAGGGGTGGCATACAATCATGGCACTGAAGACCAGGGTTTGATTTCCCTCATGTGTTCAATACATGGAACCATTTCTGGCGTCCATCATGATATTGCTGCAATAGATCCAACCAAAAATATTCTCACTCACCCTGGCTAGCCAGAATACCAAGTCCTACGAGTTTACAGGGTGACCAGTTGTCTGACCAGTGCATCTCCATTGTAAGGTGGTGCTTTGTGAATTGGTTTACGGATCCACCCACCCCAATATTGTTTAACAAGTCATGAAATTGCTTTTTAAAGCAAATTTTCATTGGAACGTTTACCAAGATGATTACAAAAAGTGCATGCAATGACATGCACAGATAGTAACACTCAGAAACAAATGGAAGAAAAAACATTTATCTGGAATTACTTTCTTCTAACCAGTTATGAAACAAATCCGTAAACCAAACTATAAAGAAGTATTGTGTTCAAGGAGCAGAGAGAGACGGCTCCACTAGGGTGTGAGTGTTTTGTGTGAGATGGATGTGTGTATCGGAATACTCCTGTAGTATATTATTGTTAATGTTTCAGCATGAAATAAATAGCAACCTCAGCTATACTTCTTTTTTAAATTTAACATCAAAATACGTTTGAGTAACATTTAAACACTGACCAACTCCAAGCCCACACATGTACTGTGTAAGACGTGTTGTGATATTACCATTGCTGACAATCGTAACTGTGTCATGGGCTTTCAGTGTAGTTGTGAGTTTGACATGAATGCATATAGATATACTTTCAACTTATATATTTATTCGGAGGACAGGTTTGGCTCTCATTTATCAGCCGACTAAAATATGTAACTTTACTTGATACAACCATTTTCCATTTTGTTCTGACACAAAATATAACAAAGATCAGCTATCCTGATCCTATCAGTACTGACATTTCGGTGTGAATGAACTGGTTAATGTATGGGCTGTTTTAAAGTTCTTTTAAAAGTGCACATAATTAACGATGCTTACAACAGTTATGAGTTCATAAAAAGAGGTAGAAAATCCATAAGACATGAACACCATCCAAAAAGGTTTAATTCTCACATTTCTCTTAATATTTAACACATTTTAAAATACATTGATATCAAGCTTTTATTATTTATTTTTTTAGTGGTTCCTTTCATCAGATAAACTTGAGTTTGTATACTGCATATCCTTAGTACGCTGTCAAGTGTTTGAACAGTTTCTAGAAATGTGTGTTCTCTGTTCTCTTCAAATATTTAAAAATCTGGTGGAATTTAGTTGAGCATAGGTGTCAGGTCATGTGAATGACCCTTGTCTTCCTTTAACAAACAACAACCTTGGTTCATCTTATTTCCGATGAGCAAATCAGGATATCTGAGGTGAAATCTTGAAATGAGCCATAACCATAAACCTGTTGTCAGGGACGACGGACTATTTGATTTCTCAAATATATGCATTTATGCCAGGTCCAACCCTTCCAACAAGATATTGTAATATTTGTGTTGTTTATCTTCCACACCAAGCACACATGTATACTGAGGGAGAAATGAATAAAAATATTAATCCTATGTTATGTTGTTTGTCCGTTCTTAAAGATATAGAGAGGTGAGGTGAAAGGGGGTTTAACATTGTACTTAAGAATATTTCGCTCATGACAATGTGCATGCGTGTGTATGTGTGGCTGCTTGTACTAGCCCAGACTTAAGCTGGTTTTATAGTGCTAGCTCACTGAGATACCATGCCGCAGTTAAACATGAATACCCCACTTAGACACAGTATACCGACTCCGAGCCGACCAGTCCTTGTTGTACCTATTAATGCCGAGCGCCAGGCAGGGACCAACAAGTGCCATATTTTAACATCTTTTGGTATGACGTGGATGGCGACCTTCTGCCTCCAGACAGAAACTCTCACCACTACTATACACCACGGAGGCGGTCTAACGAAAAAGAGAGAATAAGATTTTCCTTAACATGTACGAGATGTATCAATGTTGAGTTCAGTGAAACTTTATTAAGGAAGTGTCTGAGCCGTCAAATGTACTTCATACTCCCTGAAGCACTGAGAATGAGTTATTGTTCATATATGAAGGCGTTTCCTATTCTCGCAGTACTTACTAATATCAGCTGAAAAAATAACACAATTTTTATCGTATGAATGCTTGTTTTTAAATCAGCTGCTAGATCCATCAGGTGAATTATCACTTGTGAGTCATCCGCCATTGACGAAATGAGGCGTCTCCCATTCTTGCGGTATAACGAGGAAGTAACATTATGGAGTTACGGAAGAGCAATCCTACCGAAAAGGTTGGGAAAAAGATTTGCTATGTCCAAGTTGGTATAAACTCACCAATATTTGTGACATTGCAAAATTTTGATCACTCGCAGACTTGGGCAACTTCATAGTTACCGGTCGGCAAGGTTAACAACCGCTCGGTGTCGCGCATCGGTGATATTGGCCGAAAACGTATTTACGCAGAATAGGAAAGAATAGGAGACAGAACTATACAACTAATTGTTGAGAACAACCGTCACTGAACTGGGATGGTGTCAAGCTGCCTGTTAACTCTGAAGGCTGTCAAGGGCACTAACCCATGAATATATATATGTTTCATATGTTCACTGCAAATTACCAAGCTTCTCTTTCCAGTGGAATGAAGTAGCTTACTGACAAATAAGAGATAGCCAGGAAGTATTGTACTGCTGGTTGTTATAGTAGCTGTCATCACAGCTGTACATTTAGACAAGACTTTCAATACCGTGCCCATGTTGTGAATCTGGGTCACAGCTTGATGAGTCAAACTAATCTGACTCAAGATTTGGACTGCTGGGTGAGCTTCCAGTCTCAAAACTAATTTATTGCATGTTTCACCTTCCTCAGTCCCCTCACAGCTGACGATACACAGGGTGACTAAAATGTTTTGAGCCTCACACAAATAGAGCAGTGTTTACCTGAAATCTTTAGTTGTGGACGTTACATGCTGTCATAGAGGTATGTCCTTGCAAACATGAGTCAACTGCACAAATGTTTCACTGTGAATTCATTGGAACAGTGATACTGAGGAAAACGGACAGTTTGAAGAACGCTATGAAGTAGTTGCAGAAAAAAGGCTCAACACAAAAACCTCCATGAAGACTGAGGACAACACAAGTGAAGGGTGATACATCTTCAGTAAAGATGGATGGCAGGGAGAGCCTTGACTACATGTGCCACCCTGGGACACCAGGGGCTTCTTTCACGAAGCAACCTTTACTAAGGTTAACCTTAACTCCCTTTCTTTAACATTGTACTAAGGTTACCTTAGTGACTTACGATCACCTTAGGGCTTTGTGAAAGGAGGCCCAGCTGTCCACAGTTACACCAGAAACGATCCATGATCCGATGATGATCAACCGGGGCATGATTGTGTTGTATTGCCAGTTCAGTAGACATTTTAACAGAAACATTGGCAATGACAAATTATCAGCTTGTTTGGTTCCAAAGCTTCTGACATCTGATACAAAGTGCACTTAAAACATTTTGTTATAATCTACCTCTGTTTGAAGCTGATCCAGAAAGAGGGTAAAAGAAACTCTGTCGCTTCATGTGGAAAGGGCATGACCTCCATCTTTGGCAATGCCAAGGGTGAACTATCTTCCTCATGTCCTGGGGGCGGTGGGGTAGCCTGATGGTTAAAGTGTTCGCTCGTCATGCCGAAGACCCGGGTTCCATTCCCCAGATGGCTACATTGTGTGAAAAACAATTCCTGTGTCCCCCGCCGTAATATTGCTGGAATATTGCTAAAAGCTGCGAAAAACCACACTCACTCACTCCTCATGTCCTGACAATAAAAGCAGCATATAATGTCGATCATTTGAGGCCATTACAGTTTTATCCTAATTAGGTTTGAGAGATGCAGGAAGCTCAGAAAGTGTGGTTTTCTATCAATCAGATAATACATGTCAACAATCAGTGCGGATTTAGCCTTCAGCACCCACCTTATTCTCAGGATGAGGATCAGCTAGACAGAACCCATTTCAATTCAAATGATTTCGTAGCATCTTTGGAAAACCTCTTGTACAAGAAAGGACTCAAATGAACCTGGTATAAAATGTCCAACATCAATGGCAAAAGTTAAGCAATGTGGAAAGAAGCTATCACCCCTCAAACCACTGTATCGTTATGTTAACTATATAAGGTGCCATTAGATAAAGTAGTGTTATCTGATTGTGATAAAATTCATGTTGATAAAGTTTGTAGACATAGCATCCATCAATAACCTGTAAAACGATACATTGTGTGTGTATGTACTTCTAGTCTGGTAGTGAAGTGAGGTGGTTGGTCATCTCGGCTTCTATCATAACCTGTAAAGTAAAAGCGATACAGTGTGTGTGTATGTACTTCTTCTAGTCTGGTAGTGACCAAAGTAAAAGCGTGTGTGTGGTGTACTTCTAGTCTGGTAGTGAAGTGAGGTGGTTGGTCTGTGCTCGGCTTCTATCATACTGGACTATCATGCTGTGTAAAACGATACAGTGTGTGTGTATGTACTTCTAGTCTGGTAGTGAAGTGAGGTGGTTGGTCTGTGTAACTGGAAAGCCATACAATGCTGCTACAGTGCAAGCAGCCATATGAATGATGAAGTGTAGTGTTTGGCCCAGAAACCTTCTGTCCAGTACCCGCAATGGTTTGAGATTTTGCTGGTGCTTCTGTTTACAAGCTGCATACAAGCACCATAAGTGGATCAGAATCTTAAAGGATGCACTTTCATAGTACAAAAAACCATTGTAGAATATGTATAGAAACACAACATCCTGTTATCTCAAGTCCGTTTATTCTTTACAAAAGAACAGAGTTTCCTGACGACATTCACCAACACAGTGATGTTGGTTATTTTCAACATGTCCACAGCATGAAGTAACACAACCGCTTACTCTCATCCATGTACACAGTATGCTTCCACCATCATTCTGCTGGACCTACTTTCACCATCTCACACACACACATACTCGGCATACAGGACAGATCATGCTGACCTGTGCAAGTGAAATCATTTATGGTCTAAATTTCAAATTAATCTTGTGTGATTTTCATGTTGTCAATAAATGCAAATATCAATCAAAACTGTTGGATTCAGCATCAGGGCTTATAACCTGACTTCCTGTAAAGCCGGTTGGTGAGATACCTTTAAAAGACTCCCCACAGCTGACTGTTTGGATTCTGAATGCAGATCTGAATCAATGTTGAATATTGTGAAATCCTAGAATACTTATTATCACGTAACTGATGTTCCACCCTCCACTACATCTGGTCTCTGCAGCTGAATCACGTTCATGCCTGCATCAGCCACATCTCCCTAGCATCACAGGATGATGTTCCCGCAGAACACATCACAAATGTGGCAACATCAACACCAGTTGTGGGGGAAGTAACATCCCATCCTAGCTATGCTTTATGGTCTCTGATGGTCCTATTAGATTAACCCAGTAGATCCTATAGGAGTCATGGCTGAAAGAAGACTTTCTTTGTCTTCGATGAAGGAATAAGTCCAGTGTTTTTAAGTCTGCGAACCGCTTCCCGAAGGTGTCTGGGTTGTAGAGGCCCTGTATCATTCCACTGCTCTGTCACATCCAGTGCTGAAACAGAAATAACAGAGAATATTAGGGGCTGACAATTTATAGACAGGTTTGTTCCAGGGAAACTGGCAGTCATGGCAGATTTAAAACTATATATTTAGGATTACACCAGTGTATGAAATAAGCCAAAAATCCAGTCAGACATCAGGGCTGGTAACTTCAAAATGTCACCAACCCAAAATGGATTTAACGAGACCAAATATGGTGAATTTACTCAGATGTATGGAACATCTAAATATTTTACCTGGCTAGGTGTAAATTTAGACCGTCCGTCAGAAATCTAGACCGTCTCGGGCAGTCGGACGGGCCTTATTTCATACACTGATTACACTTTCTCAGTAAGTATAGATAGTGTGAGCTGATGATTAGGTGCCTGACTCTCAGAGTGTGGGTTTGAATCCCAGGACGGTACTCAACCCAACAAACATACAAGAATCGGTACTTTACCAAGAAAGTGTAATCCCAAATATAATGTGTTACATCTCACCACTTTCTAAATGGCATCGTGTATTCATAGCAGATTTGATCATTCTGTATTATTCTGCTAACTCAAATGATATCAAACTATCAGTAAACATTGTACTTAGAAGTCAGTATAGTGGCAGTATGTACATGAAGTCCTCAGTCCACAGACAGTAGCTGTCACTAATTTCAAATTCTGTCAACTGACAAACCAGTAAATATGTTGAATAAAACGCTTTTCCTGAGCCGACAGTACCTGACTCTACGACTTCTCCAACGAAGACCTTGGCGATACCGGACATGGCTATCACCACATTCTGGGAGACGGAGGATCCTGTGATAGACTGCATCAGCTGAAACAAGACAACAGATTCTACATGCACCATGTACAGTAAATATTTATACAAATTTTGATATGCATGTATTTTTAAAATACACCATGAAATTGCCCAGAGAATAGTTTATTACCTCAAACTGAAGACATCTGGCTTACCAAAGCATGGAAGAACTAATTCAGAATTACTATGAGTGAGTGAGAATGGTTTTATGCCCCTTTTTGTAATATTCCAGCAATATTACGGCAGGGGACATGGGCTTCACACATTGTGCCCATGTGGGGAATCGAACCCAGGTGTTCAGCATGACATGCAAACCGCCCCTGTATACTGTAGATTTTAGGTAGTTGCTTCAAGTTTTAAGAAAAAGATAGCATCCTTCTCTGAATATAGATCTGTAGCAGTTCCAGCATCTCAACATCATGTACATCCAGAGCTGCATGATAAACTTCATATTCTGTACACAGCAAATATTGTACAGTTTGAAATTGTTTGGTTAAAGTGAAAAGGTTGGACAGAAGCTTCAAAACACCTCCCAAATATTGAAAATATTTGTGTGAACACAGTACTTGTCAGGGGAGGAAATAGCCCATTGCCCGACGTCCGAGTCCAGTGTTTTTTTCTGTCGGGCAAGCAATTTTGTATATCACGCTGTACCGGTGTTCAGTTGACTTTCCAATATTAATAATGTTGTTTATTTAAAAAATCAGCAAGAAAACGGACGGTATAGTGGAAAAATGATCGGGCAAGTGATTTTGCATGTGCCACTGTACCGGAGTACACTAGCAATTATAAAGTTATTTCCATCCCTGCTTGTATAACGTGCTAGACAGCCACACATGACTTTCGTGCAGCATACACAAAGGCTTGCAGCAGTGGACCTATTACTTGTTCATTATGCTTCAGCAGCCACGTTGTCGGTGGCTGTCTCTAACGGTGCCAAATCAGGGCACAATTGCTTAAAATGTGTATAGTCAAATGATGAGTGAGTGAGTGTGTTTAGTTTTTCCTCCGCAATACCAGACAATCCAGTGATCAACAGCATGAGCATCGATCCGCGCAATTGGGAACCGATGACATGTGTCAACCAAGTCAGCGAAACTGACCACCCGATCCCGTTAGTCGCCTCTTACGACAAACATAGTCGCCTTTTATGGCAAGCACATGGGTTGCTGAAGACCTATTCTATCACGGATCTTCACGGGTGTATAGTCAAATGATGACCCTAATGAAACCAAGTAAGGGTTTTGATAATCGAAACATGTCAAATAAGGACAAATTGTTGTAAATAGATACATTAGAATTATGAAATGGGGTTGTATGTAGGGTGTCATACTCTATAAAGGAAAATGATTAGAGAAGATGAAGACAAAGTTTTCAACGATATGTATACTAGTCACAGAGATTGAAATATTGCATGCCATGATGGTAAAGATTGAAATGGCATGGATAAATATTTTCAATGTTCCCTGGCGGCAAGACTAAAATTATAGAATAATATCAGTGGCACTTTCAATCTCACAGCTTAACATGGGTGTATCCACTTTGAATGCCAGTGCGCATAACAAGAAAACCTGTTTGGGTGATAACATACTTTGTGGGTCAGCTTATAGGACAAATGAAGCTGATTTATTCTTGGAGTCACGATAGTGTTTAGGAAATCCAGTTTTCAAGTTTTCAGGATTACATGATGTTTACTGATTTATTAAACAATAAACTGACATGACATAATTGTTGTGATGTTTTAAGTTGGATCATCAAAAGTATGGGCACGCTTATATTCACAAAGGCACACACCTAAATTATCTGTCTGGCACCCATTGAAAAAATTGCATTTCTATCCCTGCAGTAGTCAAATCCTGAATAGCACACTTTTCTACCGTGTCTATGCTTACAGATAGATGGATGGATGGATGGATGGATGGGATTATGGGAAGCACACCCAGCAGAGTTATGTTCAAGACTCACTTATCACACAGCTGTTATCATGTGTAGTGGTGGGCATCAAAGCAAACTACATCCAACCAGCAAAAAATGGCTGTGGACAAATGCTCATTGCCAACTGGTGGCTTTTTTATAAAATGAACCTTTTGAGGTTGCATGAAACAAGAAAAATATGCAAGGCATAGCAGCAAGTATACTATGAGTCAGAGGCTACATCACCACACCAACTAATACCGAGAAAGTCAAACACAACAATGTGCACATTATTCACAAATGGCCAAAAACAACAAATACTGGTATTAAATTGCATACATGTAATCTCAATTTCCATTTGCATATAGAGCATTGGTCACATAAATGAATGACCACCACTAAATTCGAACCAGTGATTGAAGCACAAACTGAAATCAGCAAACTGAAATCAGCAAACTGACAGTGCTCACAACACTTTACATACAAGGGGAGATAACTGCAGGGACAGGAGACAGCAACAATAAAACATGCATGTTCTTCCGATAGATAACTGGTTTTCAACACAATTATCACTTTACAATGATGACATTCCTGTACACATGGATTCTTATTTCTTCACTGTACACTAAACTGACTTAAATCTGGTTCATACTGAAAACTTAAACAACCATCGTCAAACAAGCTTGGGAATTGTTCATTTACAGTTCTGAAGATACGGTAATCTTTGCAGACTTGGGTAAAGAAAGATTGAACAGTGTTTTTGAAAACAAACTTAACCCTCGCTGGCTTCAAATAACTGTAGTATGTTTCCTCAATGAACACAAAATAACAAATTCAAAGCTCATAGTACATGAGTTAGCAGAGTTACATGAGCACAGCACAAAATATATAACAGTAACTAGTTGTGATTTTCTGCAACTTTGGATGACTATAAACCCCAAACATCAGTCAAGTCTTAGCCTTACTAATTAACACTGCACTCAGCAATATTCCAGAGTGGGATATCAGTTTTCTGTTAATAAACAAGTCTGGCCAAGACACTCCAGTATTGGATGATATGAGCAACACTCCATCCAGTCAATGTAAGATGACACTATCACCATACCTGACTGTCTGATCCACTAAGTCATGTTACAATCACCCTGCAGCATGTACAAGATACCTGAACATGTAAACCAATATATATCACCGAACAAGACACTGAACAATGTTGAAGGTACGTTACCCTTTTTATTGCTGCTCTAGGGAAAGCAGCTCTCCTGTACATCTCGTATCGGTTCAGTTGGTCTTCGGAGAAGTTGGACACCAACACCCTGAAACAGATGATCACAATACATAACTGTTCTTCGATCACCCTCAAATTATCGCCAGGATATATTAAATTCCACACCTTTCATCCTAACAATAGTGCTTAATTTGCATGGCAAAAATTGAAATGGTACATGGAAGCACGACTAAAATTATAAAAATATTAATCACCATGATTCATTTTAATGATTCATTTAATGGAAACTGCAATATCTCTAATGATTAAAAACACATTTTTGCTCCCCATTAAACTGGTTATCGGTGGCATTCTCAATCTCACTGCATAACATGGGTGTGGCCATTTTGAATCCCAGTACACAAAACACAGGAAATCCTGACTGTGATGATAACATAATTGGTGGGTTACTTTATGGGTCCAGGACAAATGAAGCGGAACTATTCTTGCGTTCAGGAAATTCAGCTCTCAAGTTTACAGGTTTACATGATGCTTACTGATTTGTTAAACAAATTGAAATGACATAATTGGTGTGATGTTTTAAGATTACTTGGATCATCCAAAGGTATGGGCACATTTTCACAGAGGCACACCTAAATTATCTGTCTGGCACCCATTGGCATCCTTGGAAAAATTGCATTTCTATCCCTGTTCTTTTAACATCTGAAGTCTGGAGCTATTTTCAGCTGGCACCTGATACATTGCTTCATTCATTCGGTACCGTGTTGATTACAGATTGGGAGGCACGTGCCACACAGCATCAGAATCACTGTAAGGAGCCAGTACAGCTACCTGAAGCTGATGTAAGTATAAATCACTATGTTACCCCACTCTGAGGGGTATTAGGCACAACCAGTTGAATTTACTCTCAGTTTAATATGTAGACGCAGCTCAGTTAGTTAGCTTGACAGGTCAACCTTTTGAAGGATGTGAGTACACGTCCAATAGATTCTCACAAAGAATCTTTTACTTCTAAGTGACATGACATTCGTCAGACACCATCCTCAAGAGTAACTGTGAAGCTCACTTTAAATTTCGTGAGATCATAAAGTTAGTATTGCAGACGATAGGTATGATGAATTGCGACAGTCAAGTGACAAGACATGATCTTACATTGTGATACTGACATATGAATAGAGGCTCTGTGTTTAGTTTATAGTGGCTCATAACGTTCAGTTGTCACCTCACTTAGTTATATGTAGTTGACAAGTTTGGAAGGATACTCTTTGTCTGCAACATTCATATTACAACTTTTCTTTCTAAGCAGAAAATCTTATTACAATGTTATTTTGGTTTGGGTATGTATGTGCATGTGTGCATACATGTATATGTTATATATATGTTTTACTGCCAATGATATATAGTGTAATAATAATAAGTACATTTTTGCCCTGAACTATCATAGTTAAAGTATGAGGACACTTGCAATGATGCCACCAGTGATGTTAACAGGGTGACGCAACTGCAAACCAAGAAACAGGGTGCTACGAAGTAGTTTACCCTAGGAGACTGTACGAGGCCATGACAACTTACATGCATTGTGAATGTAACATTGGATACCAAGGGTACATTTGATTATGAGGGGGCAGACTAGAAAGGCGTAGTGACATCACTACAGTGTGATGTAATGTAAAAAGCGTTAACTTATTGCTTGAAAAAGTACTGTCGGCGCGAAGCATCTTAGAAGTAAGTTTATTGATTCAGAATTTCAGATTCAGAATTGGGTTAATGGATTTTGGTATCTGGTTTAATTAATATTGTTTGTGCACGCTTGTCTAATTCCATAATATATGGTACAACATAGATTCTGTCTGTCTGTCTGTCTGTATGTATGTATGTATGTATGTATGTATGTATGTATGTATGTATGTATGTATGTATGTATGTATGTATGTATGTATGTATGTATGTATGTATGTATGTATGTATGTATGTATGTATGTATGTATGTATGTATGTATGTATGTATAGATTCAAACTATGCTGGAAGTGTCTCTGCGTGTACTAGTCGATAATAATGATAATATCAATAAACACCACTAACTGCATTTTCAATCTTTCTTCCTCTTGCTTTTCCCTTTTTTGCTTGTTATGCGAATGCTCTTCTTCATTTTCAACCTTCCTCTTTTTATCTGGCGGGGACTCAGAAGACAATCTGCCATCTGAATGCTTCCCTTCTTTTTCTGGAGTTTCGCCTGATGACTTGACCGGCGATATTTCCGTGTCCTGCGGGTTATCATCATGGCTCCTCTTCAGAGGCGAGCTCATTTCTTTCTCATCATTTTTCACTGGACTACCGAGATCCATTTTCTAAGTGCGACTACTTCACACTATTTCAAATAAACGGCTAGTACTTTCACATTCTCTGCTTGTATGAACTGAATATTGACAAATACGGAAATCGGAAGTGAAGAACCGGATGTAATGGAATGATGGGTAAGACGAAAAACGTATTATCAACACAACTCATTGAATATGTGTAATAGCCTCAGGGAGACTCTTTTGGCCGATCAATTTCGAAAAAGGGATATATTCACCTTGATTAACTGTAATATGTATAAACTTTCTGTAAAAGCATTTTGTTCCGTATGTAATATCATAGGTTAAAAATAAACTAGAAATTCCACCAACTGTGTCAATATTTGAGGTTTTGAATGTACATACATGCATTTTCAAAATTGCTTTGTGAGATACAGATGTTGTCACTGAATTTTACCTTGATCGGTAATATCTCCGTGGTCTCGCATTATACTTGAGCAGGAACTTGGAATCACTGTTTTACTTTTGCAATTTCAATCAACAAACATGTCAATATCAGTTATGTGTTAAATGTTACAGATTTCTTATTGTCGACTTAACATACTGACAAACCCTCAACTGAATCAAGCATTAATAATGTTGGTATTAATCACATTCCCACTCCTTCATCGAAAATGTTAAATGACACTTGAAAACGGCTCGAACATCTGCACATTCTGGGTAGACCCGTAATTCCATTTATATAGCTGTTAATATATCCCAACAACCTTAAACTGTCTCTAATCTATTGAAGCATAAAGTACTCCGGCGTTAGCATCCACATACATTACAGAGCTGAGTACACAGGACAAACACTGAGACCAATGAACTGTGTTATATCAGGGAGACTATAGGTTGTAGATTATCCCTGGTTATATTAACAATCTCCTGGCATCACAAAGTAAGCACAATGGCAGTGGTTTGGCTACTGTAAGGGGGGAATATATACTAATTCGGAAGTCTGTCTGTGAAATACATGCGGTGTTCTGTTTCAACTATTTCTCGTCTAAAACATAAATGATGATTTGGTGACTGTTTCCTGTTGTTTTTGTCATTGTCATTTAGTTTCATCCTCCAGCTGCAGGTTCCCTTCTAAATATACATGTGTTTAAAACAATCTACACTGCTGAGAAAATAAACGTGTGAGTACTTTATCGGTACAGCCTAGCAACTCCTTAAACATGGTAAAGGAGAAACTGGAAAATGTAATATCAGAATATAGCATGATGTATGAAATAAGGCCCGTCCGATCGCCCGAGACGGACTAGATTTCTGATGGATGGTCTAAATTTACTGCTAGCCAGCCCGATGGTCTGGTAAAACCTTTAGATAACATGTTCCATACATCTGAGTAAATTCACCATATCATAAAATCCATTTTTCAAATTGAACGTTACATATAGACTTTACAATTACTGTTTGAACATTGAACTATCGTATCGCAAGTTCAAAGCACTGACTAACTAAAACTTTTCTTTTGATTGTCTGGTCTGGTCTGTCTAACATTTTGAAGTTACCAGCCCTGATGTCTGGCTGGGTTTTTGGCTTGTTTCATACCCTCTATAAAATAGTATACATCACTTACAACCCTACATATTCTGACGACCCTACTAAAGTTTAAATTCCTTCTCGGCAAATATCAGTAACCATTGACCGCCACTGTTGGCCTATGTACGTGATTAACTTCACAGTTGAACTGAGTACTGGTAAATATCCAAGAGACAAATACTGACATTCCACCTGTATATGTTATTTAAAGTGTATTTTTGACTCATTAATGTTATTTGAATTTTTTGTTCGAGGCTATTTTATAATAAATAAATCTTCAATTGATACCATGTTATTTCCTTTACTTCCCAAGCAATTTATTTGTGTTTGCTTCCTGAAACCTAACAATATTCAACATAGAATTTTTAATTGACTTCAACATGTGGAGTATAAACGACCATAAACGTAAAATTCAAACCGGTAAGATGTATCAATCTGTTAAACTATACTCATATTACATTAATGTATCATTTACGTATATTTCCTACTCAAATGTCAACAGGATCGGTTACAAGTTACATATGATGATTCGAGTATTTCATGGAAAACAACCCCGACTCCTTGAGTTGCGTATTTCACTTTCCAAACTGCAAGAAGCGTCGTAAAATCTCCCTCCTAGGCCAGGACTACAAGATGCAGTTGTCTTAGAGGTACATGGTGTACAAGTGATATAATATGCCTGTCAAAGTGAAGAAAAGTTTTATTTTCCAATGAGAATATCCATCATCTTCACTGGAAGCCCTGCACGTTTTGGGCAGGGTTGTCAACGTAAATAGCCATGTAAATAGTGTTTATAATTGTTAATTAGAGTCGTTTGAATCTGTGTATTTCAGCAAAACTTTGATTCCTATTGTTTTTTTGTGTCATTGGGATTTTCTCGTTGTTGTCGTCGGCTTATAAATGTGGTTATCAACCTCACCACTGCGTGGTTCTAGATCGAGTGTTCATATAGTCAAAGGGAGACAATCCTCCAGCTCGACAAAGTAAGGAAACGTCACAGGATCATCTCCCTTTAACCATGAACGTCGTTCTGCAAGGATCGTGAGTGAGTTGGGTTTTAACGCCGCTTAGAACAGTATTGGAGGTATATCACGGCAGACCAGCTCATTGAAGGAAGAGACCCTGAAGATGTCTACCACTTCGGTGAAACATACGATCAGGATACGGGAAGAAGCTGTTGATTTATATACATGATTTCAACTTATATATGGAGCGATGACAATGTTGAGTTTATGCCGTGGTAAAACATATATATGTATCGGAAGTCCGACAAGATGCAGGATGTACGAAAGGTTGCCGGACTGGTCTGGGGTTAAAACTCGTGGCGAAAATATACTCATGCCAATAATGGTTGTCACCCTTCAATTTTTATAATTGGACTGGGGTTGGGAGGGGTGACAACCATTATTGGCATGAGCATAAATGACATTATGATGACGATAGCACACCAAAGAAAAAGAAGAAATCAAAGGTGGAGACAAGTGAGACTGACGAGTCTGGAATCGGCAGTGACCATGTAGAAGAACCATCGATGGTCCCTAAGGAGACCAAAAAGGAGAAGGCAAAGGAAAACAGAAGAAGGAAAACAATTCTAGAAGAAGAATGGATATCGAGGAACTTGTCTTACGGTTGGACGTTTACTATTTAAAGAAATAATAATTTGGCTTCATGTTGACTGTTGAATTTATGTTTACTGTTCTTTTAAAGTAACTGTTAATTGCCAAGCAACATAACCTCATCATTCATTTCCACTTAAATATTACAAAATATAAGTATACAGTCACTATGGTCGGAACGCATGTCATACAATCTCTACAGGAGACTGGATGTTGTTTACAACTACGATCAGCAACATTTAGTTAATACTAGCAATCAGTCATATCAACTTGGCATCATGGTGGGGCAAACAAGTGGCTAACACTGGCGGATCCCGTGTCAACTTAGCCTGAAAAGACCCCCATGGTTGACATTGCAAACGGCGTTTTTGGATAGAAAGTAACGCAACGTAACCAGGTCACTGACGTGCCTTAATCATTTCATTGTTTTAATAGCATCACACGAAAAGCAATTGAAAGAGAGCTGATAATAACCAGGGTCCTACAATGTAATTTGTCATAAGAGACTGGTCTTTTACCAGTCGATTGATGATCATTATACAGAACCAAGTGAGGAACCTACCGAAATGTGTTGGACTTGTTACCAATAGTTTAACAACACAACCCGTTTGCTTTTCGTGTGTCCTTTCCTAAACTGCTGTTTGAAGGGAAACTTTACACGAAAATAATCATTGACTTCACCTTTTCCACAACAAAAGTATTTACCTAGTAGTTCCATAGCCAAAACAGTAGAGGCATCACAAGTAACTAATTATTTTTTTTCCTTATATCGAATCATATTTCGCACATTTACCGAGAGTTCTATAATCTTTATGACGGGAGCAGAATTGGGCTTCACACATTGTAGGCATGTGGGAAATCGAACCCGGGTCTCTGGCGTGAATAGCAAACGCTTCAACCACTTGACACCCCACCGCCCCTAGCAATAGATAATCAATCAACTTATTATCGATCATTTTGACCTCTTACAATCCAGCTGAGTGTTCCCCTCTTGCCAGGTACATGTGATATAACATAAGTTATAACATAAGTTATATCAGACCCGTTAAGTATATGAGTTCAGATCCTCGAAGCACTTCGATCGCTCTGTGGAAAGGGACTCTGGATTTAGAACCAAATCTTAAAATTTGGTTAAGAAACCAACGACTACTGTATTTCATGATCCAAATACAATGTAACTTCACAGACGCAGGGATAACTTTTGGTACTGGCACCACGCGGTTTGCGGTGCCTGGAAATCTTGGAGGACCGAGTGGTTCTACGCTGTTATGAAGTCGCTCACCCGGCTTCAAGTGAATGACAACAACAAAATCACAGGTGAAGGGTTATACCGTAAATCTTTGATGACAAGAACGAAATGATTGTAGTATAATATTCATAGTGTAAGAAGTCGGCATGTAGGGCCGGTTTCTGTTTTGAATGTATGAACTGAGCTTCATTGCTGCAAATTAATGTGTATGCATGTATACTAAAATACATAATTGTACACGGACATTTCTATTAATGGTTGTTATCTATCCAGTGTGCATCCGATAGCATACCATAACCATGCATGGAAAATATGGGTTTTATAGACGACACCAATCAAACGTTAATTTTAAATATTTTTGGTCTGTAAACTATAATTGACATGGGATATTATACAAGAGCGAAGCCCTCCTCTAAACACAGGAGTTATATTAACCGTAGCGTGACGACTGCCTTGCAGTTGCATGGGCGGATACAGCTTTTTGAGAAAGGGAGGGTACACAGTTCATTTTCGCCCGTTTTCACGAGAGTTTCAATTGTCGAATAATAAACTATAAATCCAGTACCCATGTATTAGATCCCGCGGTCGAAGGTGGGGCTGTTCCACTTGACTGACCCCGCTGATCGGGGGGCACCTGTTTACAACACAGGTGATTAACTGATAATTACATCAGTTAATGACAATTAAGACGACAGCTTGATCGTGACTTTTGTTT